GATTCAGCCTGGCGTCAAGTCCATTTGGAGCCTTTGCCGGGCTAATTTTAACACGACAATCGTGATGCACGTGCTGCCACGCGAAAGAATGATCGGCGAATGAGGAGCTCACGATAGAGGAAAGGAAGGCAGAGACGCGCGAGGAATCTCGGTGCGACGAGCCGAGATCGCTTTCACACGCGTGGCGGCCAAATGCTCGCTCGCGAGAGCACATTCGCGCGATGGCTATTTGCGTGGAAAAGCGTAAAGTAGCGGCGGCGGGAGGGGGGGGGGGGGGGTAATTTTACAATTTGAAAACAAGAGGCGCCCGACGCGCCGAGATTGATCGTAAAATAATGCCAGTTAATTGCGATGCCGAAGGTGTCCGCGTGCGAGCTAATGAATAATCGATCGTTCGAGGAATCGTTGAGCATCTATTATTCAGCAGCATTGCCGCCGCGTGTCGACAATTACAACTTGAAAAGTATGTCGAAGATCCGATTCCGAGCTCGTCTAATATTCTGCTCTGGAATGAATCCAAATGGCAGCAGCAATTGCTCGCTTAAGAAGCCATTAGCTGTCTGTCCTTTCGTAGCGCGCGGTCGATCGCCGTTGAACCAAAATCCCTCGACTGTGATTCAGACGTTCACGCGCTTATCGCAGTGCGCAAACACGTCCCCGTCTGATAGCAGTTTCGAGTTTCGAGTCTATGCACCTAGCTAGAACGGTTTGAGCGTCGACGAATAATACAACACAGCTGTCGCGAGTGCATACTCATCTGCCGTTTCGCGAAGCTCGGTAAACTCCGTACACCGCCGGCATCTTCTCTCTCCTGAGACTGGTGCGAGAGAAGGAATATATATGGGGGGAGGCAAAAACACCGAGTTTTTGCGGAATATATGTATAACAACGTATAGGGACCGTTTCTATTACGATAATTTCGCAAATAACGAAGTTTCTTCCTCAATTAAACAGTTGAAATAAGGCACTTTTGTCTTTATCAATGTCGCCAGGAAGTGTATCTTTAAATAACTCGCTTTATCAACGCCTGCAATTTACCAGTACTTTTAATTTTATGGCCATTCAATTCTTTTCCGCGAGATACCCTTCAATTAATAGGTCACGCGTATACAAGCCTATACGCCAGCGAAATACGAAATCTTTTCACGTGACAAAAAAAGAATATCCAGGTGTTGTTTTTCTGCTGCAGGAAGGGCTGCTACTTTGCAATCCCCATCTCGCCGGGAAAGATTGAAAAATCCAACGAGCATATCAGAGATCGAATTTTAGCCGACGAGCCAGCCGTTAAACGCGTATTTACGTAAACGTTGAAATACAGGAGTGAAGTGAGAGAACTAGTAGTCGCGCCCGGTGGCGACGAAAAGAGAAGAAAAAGCTCTCTATGCGGTGCGCACACGGGGGGGGGGGGTGACACCCGCTCTCTCTCGCTTGGTCTGACATTGTCGTGTATTGCTAACCGCCAGCATATACATCGTTGCCAAGCTTCTGACCTACCCGAGCATCCGTGTGCGCACGCTAGCAACTACTGTGTGCTGGGCAAAAGTAAGGCTGCGTCGCTTGGGACCATCATCATCGGCCGGAAAATACCGATTCCCTTTTGACTTTGTCTGTTCGCTGGGTAAAGATCGACTTTCGTCGATATCACACATCGCAAAAATTCGTTTCGGTAGCTCGCGCGAAGTTTAGAAAGTTACAGAGCCGGAAAGAAAAAAAAAGGAGGCAGGAGCGTTCGACTTTTCGAAACTTCGACCTTAACGTTCCAATCAATGTAGCCGCGAGCTACAGTAGCGGCCGGCTGAAAAAGCTCCTATATAAAATATTCAGCACGCGTGCGCGGCAGCTGTACAAGGATTATTGCGTGAATTTCGTCATGGCGATTTGCACCTTATCAACGATTTATCGAGTGCACGGCAGTGGCTAACGGCCACGAGAGGGAGAGAGAGAGAAAAAATCCGGTCTCCGCAACAATGTATATATATATCCGCGCATACAGTGGCTTTCTCTCGCGGCGAGACACCTACGCGCTCGCAACGCGAAGATAATGCTGGCTGTCAAGGAATTGTAATGGACGCATTGACGTATTGCTATACACACAGACGCGGGCGGGAATGCGTATATATCTCGGCGCCTTGATTTGCATTTTTCGCTATATAACGCCTGTATTCGCCTGTTCGAGGGATATATTTTAATTGAATGCGCTGTGCTGCCGAGAGAGTGTAATATACGACTCAGTTTGGGACTAGATTGCCGGAGCCGATTGCTATGTGCGTATAATGTGCCTGTGGAGGCTGCTTTAATGCGAAATGGATATATCGCTGTACAGATTGTTCAAGGGCAATCGGCTTTTTGAAATCGCCGTCGTTTAGCTGCAAGCAGGTACATGTTCGCTCGCAAAAAAGCAACGAATCGCAATTACTTCCTTTTGTGCCCAAGCTCTTTCGACATCTGCTCTCCGAGGCTCGAGCCGTTTCATTTTCCAACAATAATATTGGGCTTTTACACATCGCGTGCACGCGACAATTTGCCAGACGATTCCGCCTTTATCCGAAAACAATATTGCGACGAGATCTACGTATTGCAATCACTGGACGACGCGGCAGCACTGAACGCAAAATCGGCGCAACGGCCAAATCCTACCAGCATCCAACGGGAAAGGGGCCTAAGAGCAAATCAGGCAAATAAAATACCTAAAAAGTACAAACGCGGAGACCCCAACTGCCCGATTCTAATCCCGAGTGACGTCCGTCGGCGTCGAGAGCCAGCCAGGCAGACGCGACGGCGAGCATCGCCGACGCACGCGCGCACCGTGGGTGGACGACGATCGCCTCCGCAAGCACGTGCGCGCGCGCCCCACGAGCTTTACTTCCGATACAGGCAAGTGCTTCGCTGATGAGGCTTTCTCTTATCCTGCCATTGTGTCTGTGGAGAGTTATATACTTTCTTTTTTCATTGTGCTTATACATTCGAGGGTTGCATTTTAATGAACGAATTACTGCCGAGTTCGTTCCGTCGTTTTCGAGTGCATTGTTATGTTCGTACATTTTTTTCTTTTCGCGAGCTTTTTCAAGTACCATCGACAAATGACGATGCTTGATTTAACGAATGTTTGATTAGGCATTGATTGACTTTAAGCGGAAAAGTTATGTACGCCGATGACGTGCAATTTCCTTGAGGTGATCGGGTGAATCACCTGGAGTAGTGAAAGAATAAAACTAAAAGTTACATCGAAGTCTGGAAATTAACTCTTTGATCGCTTTGCTGCTGCCGCTTTCTTTCACGACTTTTTCTACCCCATAAATCCTGCTTGTGTGATTCGCATCGTTACGTAAGCTTTTTTTTGCGTTCGAGTAATTAATGAAACGCTCGGAATTAAAAATATTATTACGACAATGCTCAATCAGCTGAAAGGCTCTCGTGAAAGGTTGTATAGTTTCACTTGCCATCGAGCTATCAAACTAATTTACAGAAAGGGGTGGGTCCTGCTTTAGTCACAGGTATTGTCATTCAAGGCATTGAAAGTGCTTAGAAAAATGAAAACTATCAATAAATGGCATTTTTTAATGGATTCCGAATTGTGTATATTCATTGTTAAATAAATTCCACTTAAGTACCAATGCAAATTTGTTACAACTAGTAACTTTAAAAATACACGTTATATAGAACATTCTCAAAGTTTCCAGGTAGATTCCAGTATACCCAATATTTAGTATTCGAGAATACTCGAGAATTTGTTCGAATATTCATGATTTACACCATAGAAAGGTTCTGGAAAATGCTAGATTTTCAGAATAATCGTGAATGTTCTAGATATTTCTAAACTATTTTACTAAATATTCTAAAAGTTTCTAGGTACATTCCTCATCGAACAATCCAGAAAAACCTAGATAGATTCTATTAATCTTTAAGTATGTACGCCACATTTTTAATCTTGGTCTATTTTTTCATACTTCGATTCATCAAATCGAATTCGGCAACATTCCACGAAATCATTGGAATGTACCTGGATCATTTATTTTATTATTATTTTTAGGATATTTTCTATCTACTGGTAGAAGTACATCGAGGAGGTTTGCTTATGCCCCTTATATTTAAGACGTTCTATATAAAAAGAGTTTTAAATACATGGAGTTTCGCGCCATAAAAAATTATTTTTAAAATGTAAACTATTTTAATACCGCTTTTGTAATATTAAAAATTTTAGTTGAAAAATGTAATGTGAATGAACAAGACATTCTCAAGTGTACTTTACAAAGTTTAAAAATATTTTGCCGGAATTTCACTGAATTACACAAACGTTGCAAGAAAAATAGAAGATGAGACAAGATGTCACATAAATGTGCAATGACATCGAGAATAGTCTGGAAACTTCTGAAATTGACTTGAATTTTCCGGAAAATTTGATTCGACGTCACCAAGTTATCTGCCTGGTTTATCGAATCGCCTGCAATGGTACATTTTATAAAAATAATAAAAAAAAAACTTTTTTTCAAATTCGATAAGATTATACTTGTCGTACGTATTAACGGCGAGGCTTCAATGGAGAGACCGTAATCGATCCATTATCGTTGGTGACCGAAAGAAATAAAAAAAGGCTCTCGCGTCATAGCAAACGATCGTGGCAAAGGCGACGATGCTCGCGAAGCCGTGAGCCCCAAAGAGAAAGAAGGCCAATCGCGCGTGCACAGGCACACACTCGTGTGCGTGAAAGGCAGAGCCACAGAGGGTTAGAGCAATTAAAGGAAAAAGAGGGAAAAATCGATGGTGGTCGGAGGTGGGCGGCAGCCGCACAGGTTGTCCAGGCGCAGTGCGAAAGCGCAGCTGAAAAGCAAACGTCGCAGATAGAGCGAGCGAGAGCGGCGGGTGCATAGGTGTGCGTGCGTGTAGAGGCGAGGCAAGGAGGACGAGTGAACGAGCGAGAGCGATATAGCAGTGACGTAGGAGAGCTCTGGGTGGGAGAGTCGTCCGCCGCGCTCGTCGGAGGCTTCCGCGCAGGCTCGCTCGGGCCGCGACTGTCAGTGGGTGCGAGTCTGCGATACCAGCGAGTTCAGCGCTGTACGGCCCGGCTCTACCTCTCTCGATCTCACTGTGTGCGACGAACGAAAACATTTCAGCCGACGGAGCTTCGACACACGCGCGCCTGCGTTCCTCCACCGCGAACGCTCGTTCGATCGGCCTCGTCCTTTCGTCGTCCGAGTGTGCTCTCTCTCTCTCTCTCTCTCTCTCTCTCTCTCTCTCTCTCTCTCACTCTCTTTCTCCCTTTCTCTCTCTCTCTCTCTCTCTCGCCGACCTCTGTTGTTCGCGAACAGAAATTGATTTGCCTGTCATCGATGCGAGAACAAGGCGGTGTGTAGCAGAGCTCGCCCGACACCGGCACGTGTGCAGTGCGACGTTTCCTTCGCCAAGGCTCGCACAGCAAGCGAGAAGAGATCGTCCACCAGTAGCTAGTTCAACAGTCATCACGACGACCAGAAAGAAGCAGCAGCGAGGCAGCTCCCGAGGCAGAACGTGAGTAGCAAACAGAGCGTCGCAGCTGTACGCAAAGCGAGGCAGGCACGAGAGAGCTTTTCGAGAAGGTTCGCCGTCCCTTGCGCGCATCGTAATAGTTCGTCGTCGCCCACCGTCACGAGCTACTCCGACGGGGCTACTCGCGTACATGCGTGCGTGCGTGCATGCGCGAATGCAACGGCTTCTCGAAAGTCCAGCCATTCACTCGCGTCTTCTCGCGATGGTTTCGCGTGCTTGCGTCGGCGTAAGCTTACGTAAGCTCTCGCTCGGCGCCTCCAGATTTTCGGCCAATTCGAGAAGCCGCTGCGCTCGGCTATGCGCGACAACGGCTATAAATAGCATTGTTTACTCCTGCGACCGTTGAAAATCTGTCGCAAGCTGCGCGCGGGCGATCGATGGCTGTTCGGCGAGCGACACTTTTTGCCAGCGTGCAAAAAAGGTGCAGCAGGCCGGGATAACCGCGGACTAGGTAGCAGAGTCGTTGCTGCTTCTAGAACGTACGTCGCACTCAGCGCCATATCCGGCGGCCGGCTTTTCCCTTTCGCTCCGTGTCTCTCTCTCTCTCTCTCTCTCTCTCTCTCTCTCTCTCTCTCTCTCTCTCTCTCTCGTGCTCGCTCACGCTTGCTCTCGCGTGTGAGATGCGAAAAAGCCCTTTCGATGCTTTCGAGCGCGAACGGGTTTGGCGAGATTCTCGCGCAGCGGCAGCAACTCCACTCGAGAGAGGTGAATTAACCCTTTGGTCGCGCTTATAAGTATACACGCTCTCGCTCGAAAGAAAACCTTGAAAGTGCTCATCTATACACACACACACACACACACACACACACACACACACACACACACACACACACATGTACGTATATATGTGAGAATGTGCATGTGATCGATGAGGAAAATAACATATGTATATCATCTAATCGCTGATGCTTGCGAAATGTTGAATTTATTATTATTTTTGGGGCGGGGGAGAGGGAATGGAAAGGAGACGATCGTGTGATAGACAATAGGAGCATTATCTTCCTCCGTGGCGGATAATAGTCGAGATACTCAACAAGCTCTCCCCGTGGATGATAATTTTTTGTCGCAATGGCACTTCTCGAGCCGTGTTGTCGCGCTCGCAAAAGTGATTTTTAATTCGCCAGTCGTGGTCGAGAGCTCCTCCGTACGTGCGACTCGGTGCGCGCGACCTACAACCGCGCGCACCGCGCGCTATTATACATCCAGTGCGAGGTCGTTCTCGTTGTGCTGCCGGTGAAATTGGCCGTGGGCCGCTACTGCTGCTATTCGTCGCCGTGTGTGCGCGCGCACGTGTGTGTGTGTGTGCGTGCGTGCGTACGTGCGTGCGTGTTTTCGCACTGATCATGGAACGTCGATTCGTATAAATATTTTGAAGGTACGTCGCGTTCCGCTTATACGAGCAGATTCGGGAACCTCGCGCGCTACTGTTTATCTGTGGCGAGGAAAGGTTAATAGATGAATCGCGACGGAAACGAATACGTAACGATTCTTTTTTTCTTCTAATTTTTCGGAATTCCGTTTCGTCAAGATTCATGATTAGCAAAATTAAAAGCCGACGACGAGCCGCGATGGCATGACTTATCATCGTCGCGGTGAATAAATACTTAAAAACGAAAGCGACGTGTTTGCATATGTGGCTTGGCCCTTCAGCGGTAGAGCGCTTTATCATCGTGACTTTTTTCATTACTTGCACCCGCCGTTGAGAGACGGATTCCCAAGTTCGCGAAAATATCCTCGGTCCGTTTTATTTTGTTCTTTTTTAAAACCAAACTAGGTGACAGAGTCTTAAGGGCTCGCAAAGTTTAACGGCTTCTTCGTCGTCGTACTGTTGCTTGCATCACATTTATATTGTCTTTCGCGAAGGATTACGTTCGCGCGAAAAAAAAAATGGGAAAACACGATTCTATCTATGCGAATACATGCGTTCATAGTGATAAAAGCCGTAGCTTTTACGAGTTCCGGCATCGTGATTAGTTTCGAAAACCCGTTTTGCATATTGACGCAATGCTCTCTCTCTCTCTCTCTCTCTCTCACTCAGCCCAACTACGGCGGCCGCATGTGTATCGTGCAAATTCTTAAAAACCCAAAGCACTCGAAATAACCGACATTCTTTTTCTTCTTTTCGGCGTAGTTTTTGAATATTTTTTCCCCAATTTGCAGATACACGTTACGTCAGATCGATACGCCTTGAAAAGAGCTCCAACGAGTGGGCAGAGAATAAAATCGTATAACCGTCGTTTGCATCAACTATCGCAAGCAGCTCTCTCATCATCTTTTTTCCTATCTGTGGATTTCTGCATCTCTCAATGAAACGAAACAAACACGAACAGGAAATTTGATTTTATATAAGCGAGAGCTTGTCATTTCGTTGCTACGTCGAGTGCGTTTATTCATAAATTCGAATTTAATTGACGATTGCGCAATCGGGGAAGAGCGCCCGTGCAGCTTCGATGAACATCAGATAAATATCAAACCTAAGCGGATTGACACCTCGCTGGTACGTCCGGCGTGTGCACACGACCAAGCGCATCTACTCGCCGCGGCAAGAAAGAGAAGGAATCGCAAGTCAGCAAACACCCATTCGCGCGCGCAGCTTTCGCAGTCATCGTTCGTGCAATCGCGTAATGACCCTCCTCGCGCGCGCGCACGTACACCGCAGCTTGTCATCAAGTTCAAGCTGTGCGCCGACGCAGCCGTACGATTTGTTTCCGACGATTCAGATTGCAGGCGTCGAGTGGCTGGATAAAAAGAAAAAAAAAAGGAGAGCTTCGCAGGCCTTCGAAGATCGAAATAAAAGCGGATAGGCAGTGGGAGGCCCACGCTTATGCTGGTTTTCTGTGTCACGCGCGCTTGCGAGTTCTCGGCGCGCAAACAGTTAATGCGTGAGAGAGAGGGGCAGGGGGGGGGGGGGTTGAAACGCGTATGCACGAACGAGATCATCTGCATTCCTCAGCGTATGCATATCGTATGCATTCGCGCTTATCGTATCCTCGATTGTTCCGTGTGTACTATCGGCGTGACGGCTCATCGCGACGTGACGGATCCTCTTGTTTGTTTGTTTAGAAGACATGTCACGGGGGATTTTACATATAATTGTGTACACGCAAAGTTTTCGAATCTCTGCCTTGATTATCGCGCTTACGAAATTTTCCATTTGCGCTTGTATTGCTGCCGTAAATCTGAAGTCGCGTGCAATTATCTGTATCGATAATACGTCAATTATGCACAAATGTGTGTACGTCTCTCTCTCTCTCTCTCTGCCTCTTCACCGCAATCCCCTGACAATGATGCGTCAACTATTTCTATTTTCGACAAGCTTAACGAGTGCTTAATTGTTTGGCTCTTTTATCAGTCATTGGCAACAACGCATTTTACAGCGATTACTCTCTAATAGTAAATTTTAAATCGATGAATTTATATTGAAAAACGATACTTCGATTGTGATGACTGTAGTTTTATTGTTGCCATTTTCCTGCTTGAACTTAACGTTCCCCTCCACGTGTAATTATCAAACTTTACATGTACAGCCGGAACATCGAAAAAATAATGTAACTAGTTTGTTTGACTTCAAATTGCGGTATGTGCCAAAATGACTCACGTTCCATTATGCACGTATCTCTTTAATTGATTCCATTCGACAGAATTTTTTTTTTGCCTCTGCATGTTTACTCGTGTTTTTTTATGTACACACATACGTAAGCCTCGTTTAAACATCTGCCTCGCAGTGAAAGATATTGCCTCTCAATGATTTCTTGACATTAAAGAAGTGCGTGTTCGTTGAAAAGGTCATCGCTGAAAATAACGAAAAACTACTTAGAAATTAATCAAACGACATTTTATCTTACACGCTTAAAAAATATTGATGTATGTTTTTTATCGATATATTTGGAAACGAATGAAAATATAACTACGTGATTTAAAGTTACATAAAAGGAAAAGCACGTAATAGAACTGCAGCTGAAGTATAATGTATTTGTAATGAATTATCTGTGCTTTTTTTTCTCTCCGCTGAAAGATCGTCAAGATTTTCATATATCACGATTCGAATAGTATTTATTATATAATATAAAATAGCGCGCGAAGAAATGATGATATCAATTTATTATACCCGAAGGAAGTCATTCGACTGCGTCTCGTGCAGCAATAAAAGTGAAAGCTGAAAATGCCACTTACTTATAGCATTAGATTGGCCTATTTTAATTGTCATACTCTGACGCGAAAAATGCCATAAATAATAATAAATAATAAAATTACGTTTTACTACCGTGGATTCTAGTAACCGTTGCCTTATATCCTCCTCTTCATTTCGTGACTTCATGCATAATTATAACATCGTAAAAGAGCAAAAAATATGTTCCTCCGAGGTTCTCTAAACGAGACAGCTTTCGATGACTGCATACAATCAAGTCTTTCGAATGTTAACGTGGCAAGAGGTTCACGAAATTGCGACATTTGCTTAATTGCGTTGAAGTTTTTGTTGTTGAAAAGGTCTATTAGAACTTGACGCGTTAGTGGCATGGATAAATTCATGTCGATCATTGATCTCGTTCGTTTGGAGTCCCGCGCTAAAAATAGACCTTTGCCTATCCTCCGCATTGCAAAATCTCTCGCTCGCGCGCATGTTCACTGCCTACGCAAACGTCGTATCTTCTCTGCAGCCATTGTTCTTTTTCTTGTTCCTTCGCAGTCCAATCAAAACAAATGATCCGAGTTTCATCGAGCGAACTCCTTGCAATCGAAAGGAAAGGATAAAAAAGGAAAAAATGCACGTCCAGCGCGCATGCAAAGTGGGAAATATCGGCGTCTCCGCGATGGTTACCAACTCGCACACGCACACTCTTATTTGCCGCACGAGGGCCTTATCAGCAGTCGCGTGATTGCGTCAGCTTAGCGAATCGCAGCCTCTCTCGGAAGAGACATAGTACTTCGACCCGCGCGCGAATGTCAAACGCCAAAATCTTTGTGCATTCGTCAAGATTCCC